CAGCGCACAGCCCCCCCGAAGAAGGCGACAGCAGCATTCTGAGCAAAATTACTTGATTCGTACGTGAATAGTTTGAAATATTTATCTCATCGTTCATGTGTGACTTAGGTTTTGCGCCGTGTCATCGCACTAATAATTTCAGCCATTTTTCAATCTGCGACTGGATCAAGGGCTCCCCATGCTGAGTTGTTTGAGCATACCTTACCACGCTGGTCAATTGGGGGGGTTGGTGATAGTTGAACCTGGGACCGGTTCAACTCACTCCCCACTGATGTTCGTCGTGGCCGGGAATTAGACTCAGGTCGCTGGGTTCAGAATGCGGTGCGCTATCCACCGTACCACCACTGCCATCTCACTCTGTCCATTAAACCAACATCTTGATAGTCTGGTGAAAGGCCAAGGAGAGGAAGATGTGATCTGGGTATTTAAGAAAATACAGCAACAGAACAGTGCCATATAAAGCACTTGCAATAAAATAATAACAGCAAAGGGGTTTAAAATTCACCATACAGCAACGTTTATATTCGACGTAACATTCAGTATTTTATAATAATAAAAAATAACTACAAAAATACGAATAAGAGGGAAGTTGGAGGTGATGATGAAAAGCACTCACAGCTGGATTGTTGAAGCTTTGAGGCCAGCTGCCAATTATAAACCCACTGGGAGGGAGAGCTCATAAAGGTTTTGTATTATTAGGTCAAATCCCGGTTGGGGGTCGACTCAGCCATTCATCTTTAACCAGTGTCAATGCGATGAATACCAAGGTGCAGGAGGTCAGTGCTGGTTCCCTTATGGGTGGACTTTTCTTCTCTCACGGGAACGTGGAGTGTCCAGCAAAGATAGTAGGTTGACTACTGCCACCACACTCAGCTGAGATGGAAACAGCTTTCTCTTGACTGTGTTGAATTATAATCCAAGTTGAGGTTTATATGGCGATGTGCGGTGGTGGTGGAGCGGTTAGCACAATTCACCGTGAACCCTCTGGCCTGCATTTGATTCCCAGCCGCGGTTAAAATGAGGAACGAGTGAAACCTGAACCAGTCTTAGCCCCCAGCCATTCACCAACCCATCAGCATGGCGAAGGATGGTCGAACAACCCGCGAGAGCGACACTGTGGCGTGGGGAGGCCTCCGTTCAGCAGTGGTGTGACGAAAGTGCCGTGAAGACGGTAAAGCAAAGCATTAAAATGCGAACGCATCTACAGTCGATGTACAAATAGGTGAAGTATGCACGTGTGGAGGATATGGAAGAAGTGGGAATACTTTGAGATGTTTATTTTTTGGAGCAGGAATAGAATTGGCAGAACGCTACAAGTCAGAGACGGGTTTGAGAAAGCATTGCGGTAGATCTGCTTTACTTATCAGGCTGAGAGGCTTGAGGAGATCAGTTTCAGAGGTGAAAGAGAAGAGGTATGAGTCGAGATTTGAGCAGTGGCAGAGTTTGAACGGCGTGGACGGCCAAAGGGAGGAATTGAGGCCATGGCAGCAGCAACAGAGTGCCCTCCCATGTCCACCTTTGTCTTCCAAAATGGCTGAATTGTCAATGTATTAAAAATACAATTTTGCAAGTTATGTCCGTGACTTGTGTCTCTTTAAGCAGCCTAACCTCAGTTGTAAGAGTTCGGAACGCTGTTCCGAGATACACGTTGGAACGCCACATCCATCTCGCCTTTTGCAGTCAGCCTGTTGAAGAACAATGATTTCAATCTGTTACACGCCGCACAACGACTTAGAGGTGTGAGGAGCCACAGACACGCGGGAAGACATCCAGGCAGTGAGCCGACGCCTATTTATGGGCGTTTAGTTGTGGGAGGATATCAGAGTACCTATAGGAAACCCACGCGTGCGAAGGGGCAACACTCGAAACCATACAGTTCACGTCCACATTTGCTGTACGACAATCTCCTGGCAAGGCAGGGTTATGGTGACTCGACGCCCACGGGAAGGGTGTTTGACAACATTTGTGCGACCCGACCACCCTCAATGCCTCCGCAGTGCTGGGTAACAGGCGTGCAGAGCCACAGCAGCCTCGACCATGAATATAAAGGTACAATCACTATTAATGTGATCACTGGCGCAATTAACTGCGGGGGTAGGTGCGAGGCGGTGTGGGGGTAGGAGGCATGGGCTCTGACATACGGTGTAGAAAGAGATGTGGTGGCCCCTGCTAAACGAGCTGTTTGCTGGCGAATGGGGCCACCTTGTGTCATCACACGCAGGCGCCACGTAAAATACGCGAGGCCGTGTTTACCACGGACACCGCTTGGAGCACAGCGACAACAGCATTGGCATGGATTCCCTCCATCGTAAATCCAGATTCTGATCAATTATCAGAGAGATTTGAGCGAAAGCGCCTCATTCTCCCAATCGCTTAAGACGCTCCGAAAAGTAAGACGCACTAAGAACTCATGCAACCCGGTCTCAATAGAGTAACACAGATTTGTTATCACATATAAAAAATATCCCACGTCCAGCATTCACAGACTGCCGGGGCGAGTGGTGTTTGCGAGCACCTATTAAGGCCAGCACAGCGTAAGAGGGTGTGGGTGGCCAGCCAGCACTCCGCCCAGTCGCCTTTGTCTCTCAAGTAGGTAATTTTGTGGCTGAGTCGACCTAGGGGTTTGCCCAAAACTAGTTCAAGATAATCGTCACTGCTGTTCGTGGCCGTGAGCGGGGATTGAACTCTGGTGATCGGCCTCGTAGCGCAGCGCGCTCACCCGCAATGTGGTCTGGCGCTCACACGCCACGCTGCCGCATGATGCGATGCACCACCAACTCTGCCTTTAAATGACAATGGGAAAGGCAGCAGTGCGTCTTATAAACTGCAGAATATGATTGCAGTGTATTTCTGCATGCAAGGGCCGATTTGATGGAAAGGCACGACTCCAGGATCTGAACGTTTTGTGAACGTTGCTGTGGCCGGTTGCGCCCCCAGTGGCTGCAACGCTCACGTGGTAAGACGTGAGCTCGTCTTCATGTCAACTCGTTCACGTCTTCGCACATGATGAGCTCACATGTGACGACGTCACATTTACCCATCTATATAAGACCGAAACGTGATCATTTCTCCACCAACTCTGGCTGTGGCCTGATGAGGCTGCGTGTAATCACCGGCGAAACGTCGTACTTGAATTACATGCTGCGGGTTTACTCTCCAACACACCGGTGTGCTGAACTAGTAACGAATTGGCACTTTTGTTTACTTAACAAACCTTGCCACGTCATTAGCTGTGTCGGGTGGTGGCGGGTTTAACGACACATTTATATCGACGCGATCTAACACAACGACACTATTAGGGATGATATCGCTCGCGAAAGCCGACGTGCTGAACTTTAAGTGAACCCGTTCATTCACGACACGGCAGCAACAGGGCGAGTTGCCGTGAGGTTTAATGAAGGGGCCAGCAGCGCACTGCACTTGCAGTCCGGAGGTCAAAGGTCGACTGAACCTCCTGGCGCGGCATTTGACATCACGGGGCAAGTTTCTCGAATCCTGCCCCGCAGCCAGGGCCGGATTAAGGCACGGGCGGGAGACTTTAGGGGCTGCAGCCCAGAGGGCCTCCAGTGATTAAGCGAAGTTATTTCATTTGTGAATGCTGAATTTTATTTGTTAGCCGCGTAAAAATACATTTTGAATTTTCCTGAACTTTGTTTTCCTTTAGAAAATATTACTGGGGGCCTCACAGTAGCCTGTAGCCCAGGGGCCGACACAATCTCCATCCGGCCCTGCCCGCAGTAGCAGTAGTTGCTGCTGCTGTGTGGACATGGATAACGACCACGGTTGGTCCATCAGCGGGTCTCGTGTGCTGGGGAACAGTGCGAGGAGGCCCTTCTCTTCCGAGACGTCTTGACCCCAGCGTCCAATCGGGAGGCAAAATACCCCCCGAGAGTCGATAGCTCCCTCTGGTGGAGGCCCTCTCTATGCCGACAGCGGCGGCGTGAGCGAGCTGTTGCAGGGCTGCGCCTCTACCCGTTTATGCGCGGGAGTGGCGGTACGTTCGCTCGCGACAATCGGTGCATTCGTTCCTAAAAATGCCACTGGAAACGGTTACCGGTTTCTGACTTTGGGAACCGTTATTCGGTTCTGAAAAGCGTTACCGGTTCACAAGGTTGTCTTTTAACAAACCGAATCTCGACTGCGGAGAAGGTAGCCGGTGAGATTCATTTTCTGTTCTTTTATTTTTACAAGAGACCTCGAGCACAATCATAGTCACAAAGACCGCAAGCGATGGCGTTTTCCATCAGTCGCATTCCTTATAACCAAGCCTTTGTCACATCGAGATACGCCTCTTCAGCAAGGGAGGCTGGAGAATGAGAGATTCTCAGTTATTGAGCACAGTACTTCACCACGCTGGTGGTTAGCGTCGGCTGAAGGAGGGAAGCATAGACGGTGGGGCTATAGTGCAGTACAACAACGGATTTTGTGGCACTGTCCCTCTGCTCTCCATAACGTCGAACATAAATGTTCCAAAGATAATTCAATCGTTGTGTAATGGCTCGTTCAGCCAGACACTCACGCAACATGCGCGTCCAGCATAGCCCGCGGTGCGAGGCCGCGTTGTGTGCGTGTAGAACTTCTTTCGCACCGTACGTAGCCACCCGGCCGATGGCGTGCGGCAGGGCGCACACCGCCCTCTTTGACAAGAACCTGGGAGCAGTCGTCAGCGGTCCTCAAGCCAAACGACGGCCCTTCTTCGTAGCACAGGACCCAGATCCCTTTAAAGGACTCGCTCCCTTCACTTTATGTAAATTATAAGCACGTGGCGACGGTGAGCACGTGACGATGGTCCTCATGTCACGCTGCACGGATTGACTTCGACTCTTTATGCTCGCAGTACATGCATTGTTTACATATATGCAAATCATAGTTATCAATGGTTACACCGATCTACCACTCCTCTCACTCGCCAACCTCTGCCCTTTCATCTCGCTCTACCCAGGGAGGCAATACAGAGTTGATTTAATATTTAAAAATAAAATCACGCGGCGGCGAACAACTCAGTACGAATGAAAGTCCTTTATTTATTAACGGTTTTCTATAAAATATTCAACAAATAAAACATCCAAAACATACAGCAGTGAAACATAGGTCCTGTCGCTCATCAGACACCAGTTTCACTCAACAGATGGTAAACAAAAGAGTTACACTTCCAAACCCCCCACCCCCCAAATCTTGAGTGGTCCGGTCTGGGTAGACGCAGCACCGGGCACAGCGGCTCCCATTCAGGTCACAACCATGACATCATCTTCCAAGAAACTCCCAAGATACAAATGTCAAATATTTATATGTAACTTCACTATGCACTGAATTCGTGTAAATTCCACTTCTGAGAATTGCAAACATCAGTTCGACCAGTCACGCGTACATCGCTCCCACACGCGCAGCAAAGCGCCGTCCGCTACTCCTCCGTCCACCAGTGGTCAATTTGAAGGACCTCAGGAAGTAGTTCTGTAATAGCCACTTCGTTGGGTCGTCGCAGGGGCTATGCCGATGATTTCCACATCCGAGTGTATGCGGTTGAGAAACAGCGATCGGCGCGGCTCGTGTAACACGCGCGGCACTGCGTCCCAACGGAAGAGTTCCTTTTGGCATTAAAAGGCGAATCAAGCTTTGCGTGCAGTGTCGGTCGTGTGGTAGTAATACAAGAGAGGAGGGGGTAAGGGGTGGCTCAATATGCACCCCAAACGAAACAAAAGTCTATCGTCAAGAATTAGAGAGACGGTGCGAAGTAACATCGTGTTTGTAGCGGCAAAGGTTTTTCTCGAAAAATCACGTTTTCAGATACAACAAATTCCCGCTGCGACCATAGAACGTGCGCCCGCAAGGGGAGCGCGACCCTCTGTGTCCACCAATGGCCTCCGCCAAAGGCCTTCACCGCTTGGCGAGAGCGAGTGAACCACTCCCACCGCCACCACCACCACGGCACTGCTCACGGTATGCTCACGCAAGTGTCCGCTCGGCAGCTGTAACGGCTGGACGGAGTGTTTAACCTCACTCCGGAATGGGACGATTGGTTCGTAGTTTTAATCGGTTAGCAAAACGCATTCCTTCTCGATGTGCAAGTGGGAATATTCTAAAGCGGAGCCGCAACAGCAAAGACCGAGCGATTCCAACCACCGCCGCCCTCCCGCGGCGAGACTGGCGACACCAGTGCAGCTATAAAACATCATCAGCCACAGTGCAGCACCGCCTACAGAGGAGAGCGTGCGTACACTTCCAGTCCAACAACGGCAAGTACGCAGCAACAACAACCCCCCTTCGGTCAAATCTTATCACGAGATTACAAAATATAAATTACGTTGTACGCGTTAAGAATCGCTTAAATCAAACAAAAGTGTTACTCCTCCACGACAACACTCTAGAATTACGACGTAGGAGCTCGGGTTTGGCAAAGGACGCTCGGCGTCTGCTCGCTGTGGGGGCTGAAACGGATGTGTGCAAACCCGGTAAACATGCCAACGTTGGGCCAACGCTGGACTAACGTTGGACCAATGTTGGTCCAGGGTTCCACGTTTACTGGAAAAGGACGCAAGAACGTATTCAGCAAACGATCACTTTCAAACTTTCACCCAACGTCCGGTCGCACGTGCGCTTGAACGTCCCTTTATTGCTTTTCCCCCTGCGAGTCGGGATTGGGGGGGCAGGGGTGTCAGGCAAGCGCGTGCGTGTGTGTGCATGCGTATGTGCGCGTGTGTGCGTGTCAACGGTTTGTGTGAGCACCGTTTTGCGCCAAGTGACTGCGGCGGCAGGGGGAGAAGGGGCTGGGGGGGCACCGGCCTCGCGAGCGGACACATAGGAGTGCTCAAGGGGGGGGGGGGGAGGGGGGTCCCGTCACAGTGGCCACCGGTACCACCACTGCCGCAGCTTGGCTCCCAAGCGGCGCGTGGCTCTCCCCATCTCTGGTCGACTTCACGCCGGCTGCAGCGTTCCACGGCGGAGGACAGAGGATAGGTGGTGGGACGGGGGAGGGGGAAGTGCGTGCGTCTAAAACCAAAAACGAAACCGGGTCTGCGTGTCCGGATGCCCCCCCCCCCCAACCCAACTTGTTGCGCACGAGCGTCGAACGGTTCAGTCTGCGTCACGAGCCCTTGGTGCCGAGCGGCAGCCAGCCCCACCCAGCCCCGCCCCCCCGTCCCTCCTCTGCACGGCCATCACTTCTTAAACTCCAGCTTGTGCAGCTGCTCTTTGCCGTCGATCTGCACGGACTTGAGCCGCCCGTTCTCCTCCACCTCCACGCGCTCCTGCCCGTTCTCCACGATCCTGAAGGGGACACGGCCGTCAAGCACCAAGCATCATGCACCACACGCACCACTCGCAGGGGTCCCGGTGAACCGCAGAGCTCCGGGTTACATCCCATCAGATGCGAGTTACACCACTTGGTGAGCTCGGAGAAGCGCCCCCGGGGGGGCTACGCAGAGCGGCGTTTGGGGAAATGTGGGGAAGGGGGCATCTCTACGAGCGACGGGCGTAGCGGCTATGCTCTAGACACTCAACCCCAGAAGGATACCGCTGCTACAGGCTGTGTTATATTCTTTGGGTCTTTCGGTAAAGTCACGTAGAACAAAACAATTTACAATAATTTTTGTTAATTTTTATTGTGAATCTTTTTGTTCTACAAGACTTTACCGAAAGGCCTAAAGAATATGATATCCTGCAATCACGGAAGCTTTAAATCTAGGCTTTGTTATGTTCAAGTAGTGATGCTCGTGGTGTTCAATTCCCGATCACGGCTAACGTTGGTGGCGAATGATATCTGATCCAGAGTTGGATCCCCTTCAGCAACCTACATTGACCAGTGTGGTGAAGTAAGGTCAAACAACCCCAATGACACAGCACATAAAGGTCTTCATCAAGAGAATTAGATGGACAAAGGGCTGTATATTATAATTATTGTTATTATGCAGAGAGACATAGGAAGACACAGAGTGAATCAGTGGGAGGGACAGAGACGGGGACAAGAGAGACAAGAGAGACAGGGCAAGAGAGAGACAGGGCAAGAGAGAGACGTGGCGAGCGGCGGACTGGCGGCGCATACCGCTTGGTAGAGATCTTCTTGCCGTTGACCATCTTGGTCGTCGTGGAGACGGAGCGGAAGTGTGAGCCCATGCCAGCCCCCACGTCCCCGAACGTGGCCGTGGAGAATGCGGGGAACCCGACGTCGGCAAACGCGTCATCAAACGAAGAGAAGGAGGCAAAGCCTGTGGTGTGTAGGCCGAGATGGGGGGATGGGGGGGGGTTAAAAGTCGACGATGGGTGCACCGTGGACAAAGTGCGCCGTGCCACCACCGTTTCCCACCGGGAGTTCGGTGCAGAGGCGCCCTGGCTGGCCGCTCCGCTCACCGGGCGGCTGCAGGGCACTCGGGTCGCAGCGATTCCCCACGAGCCCGAAGTGCTCTTATTAATTATTTCCGCTTGTTTACCCAGGAAGCCTCGGAGAGCCTCATGACTGCTTTTGAGGTTTCTGCCAAGTTTTTGCACTTCCCGAGGCCGCGCGCCGATGTCGGGGGCCGCAGGGTTCTCAATATTTCGGACACTGCGAGACAAAGTGGCGCCCTCTACTGCACGGAACAAAGGTCACTTTGGTAGCTGCGCGGTGTCCGCTTCCAGAGGGCATTCTCCACCACAAATGGAGTGGCTGCTCTGTGCTCTTACCGGTCAGGTACGTCCAACCTCACGGGGATCCGTGATGCAGAGCAGACTTACACTTAGAACAAATTTTCCACGTGTTGCGGAGGGGGTGGCGAGGAGGGATAGAGCAGGAGGCTCACCAGGGTTGAAGGGGAAGCCCATGAATGGAGAGAAGAAGAGGTCTCTCTCCGGCCGCCGGTGCCGCTCCACTCTGCGCCGCCCGGCCCTGTGGCCCCCGAGGGCGAACGCGTCATCTGCTTGCCCGGAACGTCGTCCATGCACGGACGCACAAAGATGCATGGACAAACACGCACATGGATGAAATTACTCGGGGCGACAGGGACAACACAAACAAGTGGGGACAGAATAAACGTACGCACGCGAGGACACGAAGACTCGATCACGCGTACATCGTTTACCCACGCAGCGCGGTGAGGGAACGGAGAATTGGCGTCAGTGTTAATTTATCTTCTTGAAATAGCAGCCACGGTGATTGATTATCCAGCACTCACCGATTCACTCCAGTCACCTGCTCACCAGTGTTTGAGCCACCTCCTGATCACTCTTCTATCACTTCTACAGGCCTGGTTACGGTTCCTGGGAACGTCACATGGTCGATTCCTCCACCTGTGTTGAGGACCGTCTACCGTTTCATCTAATTTGCCACACTGTTCAACCACCACCACACTGCAGGTCACAACAACACTCACACACACACATCCACACTCGTCGTTCGTCCACTCGTCGCCATTCAATAAAACAATCGCCAAATCGCTCAGTGGAGGAAGCGCGTGACGGCGGGGTGTGGCGTGGAGGGGGCACCTTTGGGCAGGAGGTGGCCCCGGGGGAAGCACGAGGGCTCGCCAAAGAAGTCCGCAAACGGGTCGCGTCCCCCGAAGAACTCGCGGAAGATCTCCTCTGCCCTCGTGAAGGTGAACTCTCCGAAGTCGCCAAAATCGCCAAAGTCGGCGAAGTCGCGACCTCCGCGACCCGGACGTGCCCGGCCTCCCGCTCCTCCGCCAGCCCGGCCTGGGGGAAACAAATCGGGTCAGGGAGTGATGACCGGGGTCGCCACCGGGTCAACTTGGATCGCAGCTGGGTCACACAAGGCGCGGGACCCCAGATAGCCACCGGGTGACGGGGTCGCCAGGGTATGGGTCGCGAGGTTACACTTTACAGTCGCAGGGTCAAAAGTCGTGTCCACGTCTCTCGGCCACGGATCCGCCCAGCCTGCCGTAAACAATAGGTCGCGGGTCACCATCGGGTTATACGATTATGTCATTCGGCCATGACCATAGATCACAGGGTCACCAGGTCACTGCCAAAGGTTAGCAGGCTACTGGATCACCAGACAGTCGATTCGACTTGTGAGCGAAACTTGTACTGTAGGGACCTGGCCGAGTGACCGTACGAGCCGCTCAAGAATTTGGATCGGGGTCAGGGGGGGCGCGGTTGGCATGGCCCTGGCACGAGGAATTAAATGGCGAATGGGGCACCCCTCCAGCCTGGGCTCCTCCACCACTCACCCGTCGAGTTCTTCACGCCCTCTTTTCCACCCCTGTCGAACGCTTCTCGCTTGGATTCTGCGGGAGGAAAAGGGAGGGGGGTGTGATGGGTGGGCGACAGGAGGGATGACCATGGCCGAAGAATCGTTCCCCCCGCGGGCGTGGCACCGACGCCCGACCTCACCTGGGACCCGAGTCTCGTGACTCTGGGTTGCGATCCAATTCGAGAATCGACTCTCATTTTGTCGTCTTGGTTTTACCATCCTGTTGGTGGTTTTTAAGATTTTATTTTTGAGTCTGGTTTGTACAATCTCATCTGTACCTCTCCCCTCTCACTCTACCCTCCAAGCTTCTAACAAATTCTCCAATCAACCTCCAATCTGGGGCGTGGGAAGTCGCTAATTTTCAACTGATGTCCCCTGTCCCCCACGCATCCGTGCTGGTTGGCTCGTGACCACCTCCCCGCCCTTGCTCCTCTACAAACACGAGCATGCCCACGGTGTGCACAGCGTCTTGACGAATGCTCGCGCGCAGACATCGCTACCGACACCCGAACCGCATTGTGCCCTTGTGCTGCGAGCAGAGCTGCCCACACGAGACTCGCCAGGTAAAACAGAGTAAAAAACGAAAGCAATCGAGGCTCGAATCGTCACCGCGAATCGTGACGCTCCCCCCACTGGATGGACGAGAGCCAGTGCATGCCACATGGCTACTTGGCAGCGGCCGGTACACCCGGAGAGTCCGCACCGGCCAGCAGATTGACGGCTGTCTCAATCGAACGCACCTCACCTCGCTCTAAACGAGCGAGTTTAACCTGGAGTGGTTCACTCGTTCGATGCACAGGAGACGGTGAGAGCGAGAGTGCCAGAGCCACAGTCACGCACCGTCGCACGATCGGACAGCATGTCACACAGCCACTCACTGTCAGAGAGCACGTCGTACGCCTCCGCGATCTCCTTGAACTTGCGCTCAGCCATCTCCTTGTTCTCGGGGTTTTTGTCCGGGTGCCATTTGAGCGCCAGCCTGCGGTACCTGCACAGCATCATCTCGTCACCATCGTCATCATCATCACCGTAGCCGTCGCCACCATCGTCGTCGTCACCATCACCACCGTCAATGTATTTGCCAAAGGAATCAAAACCACCCTCATAATAATAACCGTCAACAGCCCTGGGAGGATTCACGCCGTTGTTCTGTACTCAAGACCCCAGGTTCCGTAGCCATTCAGCGATGCAGGCTGCGAGCTGTCGGACTGCTTTGAGGCCTCGGCGGTTCAGCGGGCTTCATGGGCAGGTGGCGGTGGACTGCGTGCGCCATCGTTTGTTCCGCTGCGCAGGGAGCAGTCTTTTTATCTTCCACCCGTGCAGGAGACGAGCGCATCGGCCGTGCGATGACGTCCCAGGGCGACGGTTGATCGCGGCGGTCCGGGGGTTTACGGGGAAGCAAGAGAGGCCAGGATGGGGCTCGCTTGGGTCTTGAAACGTGACAACGAAGTCATCGCCGTGGCAGTCTCAACGAGCACTTGGGGAGGGTCCTGCATTGAGGATGCTGGGCCATCCCCTAGAATGGGAGGTTGTCTTCGTGTGGGATAAAACCCGATTATGTGGCCAGTACCCACCAAACACACAAGGGAGTGGGGGGGGGCAACAGACAGATTCAAGAAGCCCTCTACGTAGCGCCACCTCACAGCCCGAGCTTAAAACACTTTGCCTTGACGCATGGCGTCCCTGCAGCTAGGCACTCCACGAACCGCTCGAGCCAGGCTTGGCCGAGTTTGAGATTGGGATGCGGTCGCGGCACACAGCGTTGAGAAAAGACAAGGCGCTCGTGAAATTGCTCCAAGCTGACGCGGAGCTGCTGCAATATCCACATCTCCAAGGGGCCTCTCGCTCTCCTCATTACCGCACTGCGGCTCCCATCGTGGCCCCCGCCGCAGCAACACACCGGGGTGCGAGAGAGCCGCACGTGTTCCCAAGGACGGTCTGCGGACAGCACGAATGCACTTCTGCGTGGACACGTTTCTCGTAGACTGAGACCGCATCGAGCGGAATGTAAATATTGTAGGAGCCCCTGCTGCTTGAATGGAAGACAGATATAGGGCGATCATGTCCTTGGGGTAGATGGGACCCTCGGTGCATCGCTCCATCAGATATGAACTATTTGTAACTACACATATGCACACACACACACAAAGACATACGTTTGCACACACACACACATATATATATGCAACAGCTGTTGTCCGATAATAACTGATGGTGACGTTGCCATGGTACTTGTGCCAGGCTAAGTGCACGGCGAGGCTACGTGCAGCAGTGATGGCTTCCTGGCAGGTGCCCGTGGGACAGGCGCAGGTGTTACCTTAATCACTTGTCACACACATACACACGACAAAGATCCCCTGTGTACGAATGTTGCTAGCAAGACTTTTTTTCTCCAGCGCCGGTGTGGGGGGGGGTGGAAGCCATCCTGTGGAGCCACCGTACACACGGAGGGCGCGCTTCTCCCGAAACGTGACCGCTCGCGCCAATTCATCTTGGAATTTCGCCGGTAACATTACCGCCCCCATCTTTATCCCAACTGCGTTATCGACATTGCCACGAGAGGAAGAATTCATCCGGAAGGACTCCGGCAACCCCACCCCCCTCCCCTTCTACTCACGCTTTCTTGATGTCCTCCTGCGAGGATGTGGGCTGGATGCCCAGCACCTGATAGTAGTCGCCCATCGTGCACCACCTTCCTCCTAGCGGGGGGGGGTCACAGAGGGAAAGGCCGAGCCACACGTTCGTCCACAGCTGGGGCTGCTGGGCTACCTGTGCAGGCTCGGTGGTGCGCCGAGGATTACTCCGCAGGCTGAGCGGCGGCCGCAGCTCCATGGTGCACTGCAGGGGGAGGGGCCCCCATTTCCATCGTCCTCAGCAATGTTGTAGAACTATCGTTGTTGTACAATGTTGTTGTGAGGGAGAAAGGACTCGTTCCGATATCATTCATCACCGATGTAAGCCCACGGCCGGGAATGGAACTTGGGTCGGCAGGTTCATAGCACAAGGCACTAATCACTCCACCACCCCCCATTATCGGTCTCAAATTGTCACTCAAGATTCCCGTGTGTACGCCAAGAAATGCTGCGCCGAGTTCCCGCGGAATGAAACAAGCCAGCGCACGCACGCACACAGTGAGAGGCGGTGGTGCCCCCCTACTGTGAAACACAGCACTGCCTTCCTCCGTGACGATCGCCTTGCGCCGTAGGACTGACAGCGCCGACACCAAGCAGAGTCAACGTGTTGATTGGAGGAGTTCGCTGTAGATTCACAATTTGCTCAGGGAAAGAAACGGTTGTCTTGAAGCTGAACGGTTGCGATGTGATAACCCCTGCTCACTGGGAATTTGATCGCACGATCCGTCACCTAGTAGTGTATTTAATTATACATTGTTACACTTCACGACGTGATGCTAAATTTTTTTTCCCAACTGTGGACACAAGCCTCCCTCCAGCCAGCCAAAGTTATTTTTTAAAATAGTACAATTTATAGTACAATTTAAATATTTCTAAAATAACCTCAAAATGAAAAACAAACCTCACTGTATTGTCACTAATAATTATCACCAGCACGGGGCAATTGTAACAAAAAGGATAATTTATTAGAAGAGTGATTTCAAAATTCTGCGTTGGAGCAGAATCTGTCACTGTCGGACATTATTAATCCAGCATTTCCAGGGGGTCTAATGTGCAAGTATCAGTTATTCCGTAATCTTTCACTCAATTCCCAACTTCCTCAGGTGTTTAATTTCCATTTGCAGGACCCGGAACCCAACACCCTTATTATAGACGGCACACTCCGAACACATTCACACCACGGCGACGGGGACAGCAGCACCGCCTCGAGAGACGTGTAACTCCCGGGGGTTATTGGGGTCATTCTTTGCCGAGGGTCACGGGTGTGGCTCAGGGGTCAGTTTTGCCGAGCAGGCAATTCCGTGAGCCCGAGTCCAAATCTACAAATCTAAAAACTCAAAACATTTTTTACCAGGTAAGGCCAACGGAGCTATGTAGCTCCGTGGGCCTTACTTGAAAAAAAAAGGAAAATGTAGTTATATAGAGAGAGCCATTCAAACTGCAAATATTAAGGCGTCAGGGTCGGGATCGAACCCACAACCTCCTCCATGCCAGACGAGGTAGCCACCATGGCGCCTGTGCGGCTAGTTGATGGTCTCAGCCCAATCACCAATGACTGCACACACAAAAAATATTAAGTCTGGTTCTATAACTAAATTTGGTAAAATTCCACCTCGGAAAATTAAAGCAAAATCGGTGCGACTCAATGGCACTTGAAAGTGACCTCAGGAGTAGTTCCGTGATAGCCACTTCTGCAAGTTCCAAGGGAACATTTCTCTTTACGTGACACCGATGGCACAGATCACATTAATGAAGACTTTCTTTTAATATAAAGGGCAGGGGAAAAAATATCCTCAGCCCCACCATGGTAATGTGGAATTTCCACCACTGGCTCATGAGGCGGTAACGGCGACGAGCACCGCCTGGATAATCGACTGGGCAGGGAGGCACCTTGGGGCGACACGGACGACATCATCAAAACCCTCAATCGCCCACCAAGTCTGCCCTGGCCCGATTGAACGAACACCCTTCACCTAAAATCCGCGGTAGAATTTAATCATTTACTGGACACCGCGCGTCACCAACCACCACCACGAAGCAATTCGTTTAATTCCAAAGAAGATTATCGTACTTGCAGCGAGAGAGTGCACGGGAGTGCCACCCACCGCAAAAATAAATCCCTCCACCGAGGTAGTCACCAAGTGAGCAAAACGGAGGAACACTGACGGCATCGGCCGTTGTAGGTCTCCGCTAAGCGCACACGGCTCCGTTATCTCAAACTCTGAAGGTTGGGGGGGGCCTGTGGCACTCTCTCTCTGGAGAGAGTTATACGTGGAGTTGGATCACATCATCGGCGTGCGGCGCACATCACCATGACGCGCGCCCAGTACCGTCACACCACAGAAGCTAAGCAGGTTATTAACCTGCACAGCGTTTGTAATGGGTGGGGGGGAGAGGGAAGCACAGTGCGTAGGCTACCAGTGCAATAGGCGGTGTGGGCAGCGTTACACAGCCTCGTCCCGCATTCCTCCCCCGTAGCCTTCGCACGACAGAGACCACCAAAACCGGTAACCCATCCACACAGACGCCCCCGTTCCCCCCATCAGAGCCTCTCTGCCAACTCGACCGGACTACGACACAGGCACGTTGCCTTAGCAACGGCAGCAACAGGCTCAATGAACCGGCTCAGCAAAAGCCCCAAAAACAGGAGGAATATTTCCACAAACCCAACAAATGTGTCCTCTCGTTCCCGCAGCAACCGACGTAAACGAGCGCGCGCAGAATTACTGGGCGATCGTTTCTCTTCCTCCTCCTACAGCGGCGGGGGGGGGGGGGCGTTGTTTAGACGCAGCAAGACGACAACGCACGATCTGCTTACACGGCGGTGGTGGCGGCGTTCGTGGGGGGGGGGGGGGGGGTTAGGGAGGAGGTCTTGAGCCGCTCAGGAAAACGTAAGTCACGGGTTTGGTCACCGCCGAGCAGCCGCCTCAATTATCCAAAATGCGATTTTATGTTGCACAATTTCACACAAATCCGTTAAAGCCAGGGCAAGCCGTCTCGCGCTGGCCGGCTCCTCTAGCGCTGGCCGACTGCCCCGATTGACGCCATAGCCAGATGGGGGGAGGGGCAGCAGGTTTATTTCGCCACCGCGCAACTCTGCCAGAAGGGAGGAGCTGGCACGCATGCCGGCCAACATCATCCATCCAGGAACTGCATATCCCCCCTCGTCATCATCCTCCACCTCGTCATAATCCTCCACCTCGTCATCATCCTCCACCTCGTCATCATCCTCCACCTCGTCATCATCCTCCACCTCGTCATCATCCTCCACCTCGTCATCATCCTGCACCTCGTCACCATCCTCCACCTCGTCACCATCCTCCACCTCGTCACCATCCTCCACCTCGTCACCGTCGTAGCGCGGGGACGCTCCAGGGACAACCTCGTCGTTACGTTTGCTGCGGCAGCGTGGGGAGCGGTTGTTGGTTGTGGGTCGTGGGAGTGGTTGGTCGGTCGTAGTGGTGGCAGGGTTGGTGGATCGCGGAGTTTGTATAGGATGTGGGATGGGTGGGTTGTGGATGGTGGTATCGAGTGGTTGTGGTTGGTGGTGGAGGGTGGTTAGATCGTGGTTGGGGTGGTGGTGACTGTAGCTACAGCGTCCAGAGCGATACTGCATTCAAGCGGCGATCACATCCCTCGTGCCGCTAGCACTCATCAACCCTTGTCGCGGCCGCACATCCTCTCCCCGTGCCTCCCCGCGCTTCTGCTGCCCAACCCGCTGGCGGAGAGCGACGGGCTCGGGATCCCCCCATGGGTGGTAGTATCGGTCAACTCCCCTCCGCCTGCCAACATTTCACCACACGGACGGGGGGCGTGCACGGGCTACCTGTGGCTCAGCGCATTGCACCTCGGACAGCCACAGCTATACGTTCCGGCCCCTCTGTCGATCCACTGCCAGACGAGGGCCTTTCCACGCCACCGTCAGTCATTTGAGCGGCAGGGTGGCAGCACAATGGTGACAATTGTGCCTCCTAGCAAGAAGTGTCCGAGTTTAATCCCCGACTGGGCTGCCCCTTTCCATGTGAGATTTGTATGGTTCTCTCCCGCCGTTCTGTGGGCGTTGCCTCCAGGTTCTCCGGTTTCCTCTCATAACTAAAATAAAACAATCTCAACCGGTATCGGCCAAACGTCCCAATGCTGAAAACTTACCTGCAAATATCTCAATTGGGATCACACACAGCAGCAGCAACAGCGCCCTCAGCTGCGAAAACTTGGCAGGACCCTCCTGAAATAGAATGCTAAGACTATGCGAGGTTTTCCTGGGAAAACAAGTGGAATAATAATAAAGATTATTGTGTTCTTTTATTTTATCAATTTATTATTTTATTCTCATTTTACGTGACTTTACCGAAAGAACCAAAGAAGAAAGATGGGGTTGTTTGCCCATAATTTACCGCACTTGCCAGCGTGGATCGAGCAGCAGGCTTACACCGCACTGCACAGGAGCTTGGCCAGTCACGAATCAGCAGTCCCAGGAAATCGTCACGGTTTGAGGGTCACTCTTCAATTGCAGAATCAATGTGATTTGCCCCCGTGGTTACATTTGGCTCCTCTAGTGGCCGCAGGGATCGCACAAACCACTACGGATCGGGGAGCAACTTGTGCCGAAAACGGGCCATGCTTTGCCTTGAAAACGACGCAACGCAGATGAACTACTTGCTGTCGAGTTTCGTTTTTTGTCCTTTCTCCGCACCTCCGATTAGCACGGTTGGCTATGTATGGTGCTGAAGTTCAACATACATGCGTACTAACCGTAAAGAAGTTCAACATACATTGGCAGGCGCATGTCCAGCCTCCGCGCAGGACCAGGGGACACAAAAGCAGCCGGGGAACTGAGGCAGCTGCACCCCCTTGGATGAAGAAAATCACGGAGGAAGGTCTCGAGGAAGGAGTCAACAGCACGGAGGGCTGCAAGAAGGATGTTACAGATCCCGGGAGCAGCAGAGGAGAATGAGCGGCCTCCCACTGAATGACGGTCGACCGAGGGCTTTGATAGAAAGAGCCTTGGATGCTGGAGCAGAGAGTGCGTTGAGGAGTGGAGTGCTATGAGAGTGGAGAGGTAGGAG